GTCTAAATAGCTTAAATTTCATAACATTAAATATTTATATATATTTATTATTTTATTATATTGACCTTTCAGCCATGCCTGGCTAACAATACAGAAGTTGCAATGACACAGTGCATGTGCACTCATGTTACCGTATCCAAGAATATAAAACTGGTACTTTCAAAATGATCTGTCTTGGCTGTGTTTTAGTGGACTAGTGTTTTGTAAAATACAGTCACATTTCAGTTATAATATATAATGTATGTATATGCATTATTACTATTTATAAACAAGTTCTTAAATTTCAGTTATTTTTCTTACAACACAGAATATTAAATAAAGAAGTATAGAAAACAATTATCTCTTCTAGTTATGAACTTTGTACTCATTTGCTGCTTGTCATAGGTCGCTAAGCCTTTTAAAATTTTGCACATGAAGGATGTGCAAACAAAAAAAAAATTTTAAGGTATTATATAAATACATTTTAAAATAACCAAAAATCATAAATTATTACATCAATACCACATAATTCCACTATAATTTATCAAGCTTAGCTGTATTTGGGTCTAAAAATATATAAAATTTCGAGCTCACTAAAGTCTTACCTTACTGTTTCTAATCTAACATCAAAAGAACGAGCAGAGAAAGCTATTAGAAGAACATTCTGAGCTTGCAATTGGTTATTCACACATCACAAATAGAAGTAGACGTACACAAGCAAGTCTTTCCAAAAATGGATAGAGATGGCCGAGGCCACTGTGTTTGATTCAGTACATGAGCAATATCTTGCCAAATAGAAAAGATGAGAGGTTCTTCCAGTAATTACGTCCATACGATCCTCACTGTTTACTGTACACTAGATTCTTTCTATAAGTTTCCAGTAATTACATCAATACGATCCTTACCATTTACAGTACATTAGATTATTTGTTATAAGTTTCCAATAATTACGTCCATACGATCCTTACTATTTGCTGTACATTAGATTATTTGTTATAAGTTTCCAGTAATTACATCCATACGATCCTTACCATTTACTGTACACTAGATTATTTGTGCTAAGTTTCTACTAATTATATATGTGTACGTGTGTGTGAGTTTCAGGATTTGCAATGCCAAAATCCATGGCTTGATTCCCCACGATGAACACAAATAACCCTAATGAACAAGGATGTTTTGCCTTCGACTTGAACCGGATTTAAGTAAAAGTGAAGCCGCAATAATTCAGTTTCGTTTTACTAGCATGTTCTGGTAAGCCTCTCAAAGCATGGTATCCGAAACCATGTTATTTTCTCCTTTTCAATACTAGTATATGTGCTAAGCTATCGGTATTTTTATATTAATTAGAGGTGGTTTTTATGTCATGAACAGCGTTATTTGTTTATTCATTTGTATTTATCATATAGAGTTCGTGTATTGGAAATAAAATATACGACAACAGAGTGCTAGACTGTTTTAATACTCAGGTCTTTTAAGAGGATGTATGTTAGACTATGGACAGGATGTATGTTGGACTATGGAAAGGGTGTATGTTGGACTATGGAAAGGATGTATGTTGGACTATGGAAAGGGCGTATATTGGACTATGGAAAGGATGTATGTCGGACTAGGAACCAACAAATTGTAAGCAGCACGTTTAATTCTAGGCAGGAAAATTAACATGCAAAATTTGATAAGATGCATGTTGGACTAGGAAAAACCCTGGTGCTTTCACTACAGTATAATGTTCGACAGGAAAGACAGGTTTCTTACAGGACAGAAAAACAACTTATAGATCTTGAAGGAATGTATACTGGATGATAAATCAACTAAATGTAAGCTGAACACTTTATTATAGACACGTACAGCTATTTTAAGAATGTCTACTGGACGATAAACCAACTAAATGTAAGCTGAACACTTTATTATATAGACACTTACAGCTATTGAAGGAATGTCTACTGGACGATAAACCAACTAGATGTAAGCTGAACACTATTATAGAAACTTACAGCTATTAAAATAATGAATACTGGACGAAAAGCCAACTAGATGTAAGCTGAACACTTTATTATAGACACTTACAGCTATCTTAAGAATGTCTACTGGACGAAAAGCCAACTAGATGTAAGCACACTTAATAATAGAAACCTACAACTACTAAAAGATTGTTTGTTAAGCAGAGAAAACAACATGTCGTTGCTGATATTCTCGCAATATGAAAATTAACTTTTCATATTAGTGTCAAACATACTTGTCTAGATTTCCAGGAAACAACCTGTAATTATTAATAAATCTTAAAATGAAGAACAAAACATTAACAGAGAAATAAGTACTTCATATTCAACACAAAATGACATTTTAGGTATACTTTTTGACGCATCATGTTCAGCTCATAAGACCTTCTGATACACAAAATAACATTTTAGGTATACTTTTTGATGTATTACGTTCAGCTCGTAAGACCTTATGACACACAAAATAACATTTTAGGTATACTTTTTGACGCTATCATGTTCAGCTCATAAGACCTTCTGATACACAAAATAACATTTTAGGTATACTTTTTGACGCATCATGTTCAGCTCATAAGACCTTCTGATACACAAAATAACATTTTAGGTATACTTTTTGATGTATTACGTTCAGCTCGTAAGACCTTATGACACAAAATAACATTTTAGGTATACCTTTTGACGCATTAGCTAACAATTAGATAAAGCAACATTCGGTTATTGACTATCTGAATTTAATCATAAAGAAAGTCTCTCCTACTTACACGGAGACCAGCTTTCTCAAGCAAACATCGGCCAGTGTTTCATTAAATAAAGCAAACAAGTTCCAGTTGTAGAAACGTTTGGCTATTAAACAGGCATATTTTATCATTCTTAAATACCAAGACAAATGCAGGAAGATATTTGGTATGTTCAACCGGTACGAATCCTTATGAGACATCTGGGTTAAAAACCCAGATCTGAGAGTCTAATATTCAGGTATAGTCATCCCTTAGTTTGAAGGGCCCGGCATGGCCTGGTGGTTAGGATGCTCGACTCACAATATGCGGGTAGCGGGTTCGAATCCCCGTCACACCGAATATTGTCGCCCTTTTTGAAGCGTTGTAGGGCGACGGCAAATCCCACTAGAGTTGGCAGTGCGTGGTGTTGTCTATCTGTCTTCTCTCTAGTCTATCACTACTAAATTAGATATGGCTAGCGCAGATAACCCTTATTTTGAACTGTTGACCGGAGGAAGGATAACCAGTCAAGAACACTCGCTATATATATATATATACGGCTACTCTTAAACGAATAGCGGGATTGACTGCCGCCATTGCAAAATCCCGTGAGCAAAAGTGCTGGGCGTGTTAAACGGTATATTGCGGCAGTAACTCGGCCAGTTTTGTAGTTACAAGCGTACAAGTTATATTAAGAGTCAAATGTTTATTATTATCACAATCCTTATCACAGTAAGAATGTCAATTTCAGTGCAATAAATAAATATAAAAGTCATGCAGAAATATCACACTCATTAAAAAAAACTGAAAAGAAGCTACGAATCCTGAAACTTGGCTCAACTTATGATTCAGTCTAAAACAAAGTTTTTCTTACAAATTGCAACAAAATGGTGTACTTGATTACGAAACCATTAAAAATTTGAAATATCTTTTTATCTTTCTAAGAGAAGTATGCTTTACAATGTTTGTGACACATTGACAATCGTAAAGTCTTTCATTTTAACGTTATATGAAACGGTCACAATATATATTTTATCATACTATATCTAAGTTCCTTAGAGGAACGGCCCGGCATAGCTAGGTAGTTAGGGAGCTCGACTCGCAATCTGCGGGTCGCGGATTCGAATCCCGTGCCACCAAATTGACTGTACACTAGATTCTTTCCATAAGTTTCCAGTAATTACATCCATACGTGGGGTCGTTATATTATGACGGTCAATCCCACTATTCGTTGGTAAAAGAGTTGCCCAAGAGTTGGCGGTGGGTGGTGATGACTAGCTGCCTTCCCTCTAGTCTTACACTGTTAAATTAGGGACGGCTAGCGCAGATAGCCCTCGTGTAGCTTTGCGCGAAATTCAAAACAAACAAACCTTACCGGAACAAAACACCATAGTTTTGTTAACATATAAAACATGTTCATTAGTGTCCATAGTCCAACATACACCCTTTCCATAGTCCAACATACATCATTTCCATAGTCCAACATACACCCTCTCCATAGTCCAACATACACCCTTTCCATAGTCCAACATACATCATTTCCATAGTCCAACATACATCATTTCCATAGTCCAACATACACCCTTTCCATAGTCCAACGAACATCATTTCCATAGTCCAACATACACCCTTTCCATAGTCCAACATACATCCTTTCCATAGTCCAACATACATCATTTCCATAGTCCAACATACACCCTTTCCATAGTCCAACGAACATCATTTCCATATTCCAACATACACCCTTTCCATAGTCCAACATACATCCTTTCCATAGTCCAACATACACCCTTTACATAGTCCAACATACACCCTTTCCATAGTCCGACATACATCTTTTCCATAGTCCAACATACACCCTTTACATAGTCCAACATACACCCTTTCCATAGACCGACATACATCTTTTCCATAGTCCAACATACATCATTTCCATAGTCCAACATACACCCTTTCCATAGTCCAACGAACATCATTTCCATATTCCAACATACACCCTTTCCATAGTCCAACATACATCCTTTCCATAGTCCAACATACACCCTTTCCATAGTCCAACGAACATCATTTCCATATTCCAACATACATCTTTTCCATAGTC